TGATATCCGGATATGGGGATCTGGATATCCGGATATGGGGATCTGGATATCCGGATATTGATATCCATATATTGTCAGTGTGATATCCGGATATGTCCCCGAGGAATATCCGGATATTCTGGGTTTGCGAGGAACAGTAGCGTACTGTTCATCCAGAACTGATCTATGGGTTTGTGGACCCTAGTTTGAGGAAGTTGAACTTCTGTAATTAATTAATGTAAGTCAGAATCATATGATTAAGGACTTATGGCTTGTGTGAAGCCTTAAGACGTAAAACGTAATGGAAATGCGTTGTCTTAATATGGTATGCTTGCAGTGCATGTTTATTGATATATTATTGGTCTATAACAGATTGTGAATCTGCTGTGTTTGGACTTTGAGCTGTGGACTCTTGGCTTTGGGTGTTGGCTTGCAAGATAAGCTTTCGTGTCATTGGTTTAGCCATGTTGTGGTTCCACCATGTCCCATGGGGGTATGGTTATATGCATGCTGTGTTACATGCTTTGAATATTTGAAATGTTGTTGAGCTTTATGTGTAATGGCTTTTAATATACATGTGTTGTTCCATCTTGACGGTAAGCCTGAGTATGTGGCGTCATACAAGATGGTGATCCGGGGTGGATGCAAGTGGCGTCTTGCATTATGTGTGGGTATTAGACGTATATAAATCCTGCATTTCTCTGTCCAGTAGAATAGAATTGACACACATGACATGATTATCTGCTGCATTGCACTGTTTTAGAAATGATATTGATGAACTGCTTTTAAACTTATATTACACATGTAAGTGAGCTTGGGGTGGAAGATCCTTGAGGACCCCTTGTCTTACTGAGATTTCTGGTTTAGAGATCTCACCCCATGTTTGGGGAATGCTTATTTCAGGTTCAGGTAGTATGGTGACTGATGCCTCTGGCGGCAGGAGGCCAGAGCTTAGCTGATTATGATATTTATGCTGTATTGCTGTCATGACTGGATTGGATGCTGCTTATGTTTTCTGTTCTTTATATTTTGAGTTGAGACTTATGTTGGGCATTGTTGCCTTATTTAGGTGAGCATGAGAGTTGTCCATGCCACTCTGTTGTTAGTACTTTTGAGTCGAGTTGTATAAACTGCTAATGGTCCAGTCTACGTATTGTAGTTCCGTGACTAGAGACATACATTATGTTATTTTATATCATGAGGTATTTCAGTTAGCTGTTTTATTGCAATTGCATACAGCGATGTTTTATTAATTGATTAATAAGCAAGTTGGTAATGATAATGACATCATAATTAGAAAGAAAAAGACATTTCGCAATTTTAATTAAGCGCAGCTTAATACGATAGTATGATCACATTACCGTATATATACGGGGTGTTACACCTCGCCTAGTTTCTAGTAACAATACTCACTAACTCTAATCACATATGTCATCATTTGTTTCTCGGTGGAGTTTAAATGGATTGGCACGTTAAAAATTAGGGTATAGGACCATCAATGCGGGACAATCTTTTTGGGGAAAAATTTACCTGATTGCCACGTCTGGAAATTTTTTTGCCAAAATGCCACGTCACAATCCCGCTGGTCTGACAAGCGGGAATGAACTGGACACGTGTCAGCGTCTGAATGGTCAACCATTCTCGCTGGGCTGCCCAGCTAGAATGACAGAATGCTGACACGTGATAAAAGTACAGGCATTCTGTCATTCTAGCTGGGCAGCCCAGCGAGAATGGTTGACCATTCAGACGCTGACACGTGTCCAGTTCATTCCCGCTTGTCAGACCAGAAGGATTGTGACGTGGCATTTTGGCAAATTTTTTTTCAGACGTGGCAATCAAGTAAATTTTTATTAAAGAGGTGGCACAATGGTCAATGTCCCCACCAATGCACCATTGGTTGTAATAAAAAATATTATCAAGATGAGTATGTCTTATAAACATGGGCATGTTATATGCACTCCTTTCACGTGTGGTTACATGTGGAAAGTGGAATGCTTCTAAATTATTATTATTTTTTGTTAAATTGAAAAAAAAAATTGTTATATTCTTTTATTTTCTAATACATTTAAAATTTTCTTTTAAAAAAAATCGGGGGAACTGCCTCTTAATCCCCACCACATAATGTGCGGATATAAATCAAAATTTCTGGGTCCGCTACTGAACTGATCTACTATGTTTGGTATATAATTATACTCTCTTCCATGTAATGTATTGGACAAAACTTCAGTGATACGTCCCTTTATCCAAATTTGAAAAAAAAATTAATACGGCAAGAATTTTATTTTTTTCAAAAGTGGAACAAATTTTTTCAGATTTGGAAAAAGAAACTAACAACATTGGATACTCTGGTAGCACTAAAATTTTGTCGTTACACATTATTTATTGTATTTGATCTGTTACCCTGTCCATGTGTAAGGGACAAATGAATGTAACAAACGTACAAGGAGCCACAGTGAAGTTGACGACCCTATGCGAAGCAAAAGTACAAGAAACTTTCCAGTTTCCATGGATGTTATTACTTTTTTCCGGAATTTTAAGAAATTTACCTAAACATATATAATTTTAAAATTCTCCTTTTAAAACCACAAAATACGCTTTGGAAGTACTGCTTCACTTCAAAATCTTCTCCATATATGAGTTTGCATCCGAAGGCTACAATTCGTGCAAAAGGACTTTAAATGCCGTTTGAAATTAATCAAGAACTGCAATTATCTTATCCAAATCACTATTAATGTGAAGAGACATGAGTTAACATTAAAATCTTTTCTCCCAGAGGCAGCAAAATCTCGTAATCTCTACTTAGTCATTGCTGGAGGGAAAAAAGTTAGGTAGTGTTTGGTTGGAGGTGTCTTAGGAGATAGATAGACATTTGAGATTGGGTATCTAGTTTTACCATATTCTGTAGAAGAGATTGCAACATTTTTCCACCCAACGTACTTGCCCAGCAATCGATGTTCGCCTGTTAAATGGAACAAAATACACTGCCACACAATACCACTTGGCATGTGGTATTGTGTGTTGTCCGGCTAAGTGGAACAAAAAGCAATAAATATGTTGACAAACATACCCTCATAAATTCCTACCAAATCTACTTGAAGATTTATAGCTCATCTTCAATATCCCTGCCAAATAACATAATCTTCCTCTCTCTGGTTTGAAACCCAAACCAAATCATCACTGAGCATGAAGGTTGCGTACGTGGGAGGTGACATAAAGGGAACAAGATTTTGGTTTTCATCTGTTTTCTTTTTTTTTTTCTCCTCAAAGATGTGTTTTTCCCTTATCCATGGTGTTATAATGGAATTTAACATAATGGATGTAGGTGAAAAAAGGTTCTCCAGACTTGAAATTCAGATTTGACCTTCAGAATTTTTGGTTGCAACTAATGTCTTTGAGGTTAATTTTGTTCTATTTTGCTCATCATATTATTTTTGGGTTTGTTTTTCGTTATGTGTTTTCATTCACTGATTGTGCAAATAAAGAACACGATTTTATAGCAGTTGCGGTGGTTAAGGTTGCCATGGATTGTGTCAATAACAGCCCAGAAAAGAGACCCGTAATAAGCCATGTGCTTCGTGCTGTTGGGTACATTGTCTGTATACTGTGATTGAGAACAGATGTGAAGCATTGAATCCATTTTAGTTCGTTTACTTTTTTACTGTTTTGTCAAGGTCTACAATGATTTCAAGCTGCAACTATTAAAAGGGTTGTTTTGGTAGTTACAACTTATTTTTCCATCAATATTTAACCTTCAACCAAACATAGACTTACAAAATTTTACCCAATTTTTCCGGTAAAATTTTGGCCAACTATCAATATTTTTTTGATTTTCCTACCAAACTCACTTTCCAACCATTTCTCCATTAATTACATTTCCCTAGTGTTTAAAAAAAAATTCCTCAACCAAACGCCTCTTAAAGTTAACGAAAGTGTTTTTTATAAAATGACTTGTAAAAATTTAAGAAATAATTAATCTCGATATTCGTTAATTTTTTGAACTTTGTCTTTTTATTTCTTCAATCATAATTAATTATGGGGCATTTATAACAAATTTTATATTACCATTTTTAACAACTTATATACAAAAAAATTTATATCAAATACAATGGTAATTGCTTGACTCCCTCGAGGGAATCTTCTGCTCAGGCTGTACCTACAACGTTTCTTAAATTAGAAACAAAGTTCGACGTCAAAGAAAATATGGAAAACTTCAAAACCGTCTCTAAATTTTCTCATAATCATTTTTTTTTTTTTGAAATTTTGAATTATTTATTTTTTTAGTTTAAATTTTTTTATCACTTATCCCCTAAGTTAAGGAGTAAGTGATAAAAAACTTTAAGTTAGGAGACAAGTAATAAAGAAATTCTAAATAAAATTGTAAATAATTTAAAATTTTGAAGAGGGATAAGTGATTGTAGAAGAAACTTACAAGAAGATTTTTAGAGCTTTTCCAAGAAAATAAACAAAAAGATGTGGATTGAAATGAAAAAGAATTTTACTCTGTGAGAGAAAGAGAACACCCAAGTGAATACTCCTGCTGCACCTAGAAATTTTTGACATATGTGACGCTCATATAGAGCCGTACAAAGAGAAAAAAATATCAACCGTACACTTTTATTTCTATATAAAAATTAAAATTATCTCGAAACATTAACTCTTTTATTTATAGGTTCAAGTTTTTTGTTGTAAGATAGTAGGAGAGAAAAAATAGAGAGAAGTTAAATGTTGGTCCCATCTTTTATATTAAAAAAAAAATTAATTAATTGACACAGAAAACGAATTTGTGTAGGAAAAGATGTTACTCTCATGTAGCATGAGAGTATTATTTCCCTTTATTTATACCACCTAAAGCGGTTACATTCAAACAAATGGATATTATGCGAATTATAAACAAACTACTTGGTGAAGGGCATAATCTGGAATGCCCATGTAGCAAGGAATATGAAATGAAGAACAATACACTCCTAACATACTAAAGACTACAATATCTGAATATATTATATGCCGTTAGCTGATTCAATCTAATTTGCAATATCTTTTTTGGTTTCGTTCAGGTACTCCTCCATTCCTTTGAGCCAGAGATCAGCGAATTCACAGTTCTTCCAAGCTTCAAACCATGGCCCTCCACGAGTATAATGGATGGCCTTTGGAAAAGTAGTAGGATCATTCTCAACAACCCTATTATGCCCCTCAAGAAAGTTCCAAACAACTGGGATGGACCCAATTTCATCATCCTCGAGCCATTGAAACCTGTGAAGGAAAGCACCAGTCTCTGCATTCACAATGTCAGGTGTCAGAACACGATTCTTGGCATGCCCACAATTATACAACACCATTGAAGACCAATTCTTTCTTGGGTACACAGTTTGCACCGCCCCATCCATTTTTGTGGTCTCCTTTGGAGCATAGTCATGTTGAACACACATGATAGCATACTTGTCCTCAATCATGTCTCTTAGTTCCTTAATATCTGCTAAATAGAGGAAATCACAATCCACAAACATTGCCCAACCTTCGTAGTTTGCCAAGTATGGTGTCAAGAATCTTGAAAAGGAGAACTCAGTGCTCTCAAATTGTCCCCTTTCACGCCAATACAAGCCACTTTTTCTCAGATCTGTCTGTTTTAGAGGAATGATCTCAACAGGGATTGAAGACCTCTTCAAGATAGAGTGGCGACAAACCTCAAATGCAATGTCTTCACGCGGATCATAGCCCACGAAGATCTTGAAAGGCTTCACCGCATTACCTCCATTACTCAAACTCATCTTAGTGTTTAATGCTTGAAACTGCGTCCCCTGTTTAAAACCCCAACAAAAACAAAATCAAATGCATAATCCGTTACCTTTTGTTCCCATAGAAAATGATAGAAAGATAAAGACTAAATCTAGTACATATACAATTGTGGTAAGATAAAGTATTCCCGTTTTGCACCATTCCTCACATTACATTGTACATAACCGACAAAAATTTAGTACACGAAATTACTAAAAAAGGAAAATCCCAAGTTAAATGTGAATCAAGTAAATCAAATCTGATGCAAATAAAAAGAGTTATGGACCTAAACGTAGATGGCGATAGCAGCAAAAGGTTGGTAGAAAATGCAGATCTTCCTCAAGCACGCAACTAAAGTCGGTGCCTCTTATTGTCAAAAATAAAAGAGAGAAAAAAAAACACGGTGTTTCACTTGGTCCAAGAATTTCAACGATAGGGATTGGAGAGAGAAGGAGATACTTTGAGCGTTGTAGCGAGTATTTAGCTGTGATGTATGGTGGAGAGTAAGCGTGGGTTTATATAAACAAAATATTTAGAAAATAAAAACAAATAAATAAATAAATTCTGTGTTAACAAGACGAAGCGTTTTGCTGTTACTGAGTGGATAGATGGGGCCAACACAAATCCAAAAAGGAATCACATAGCCCAATGATTTCCCGCCAGCATGATTTCACGCCAGTATTTCTGCACCTAATCAGTTGTCGGTTAAATTTTTAAAAAATTGCTTCATATATATTTTGGGTACATACACGTAAATACGTAACTCACATTAAGCATACAGTAAATATCTTTTTGCTTTTCGACAAATTTCATGATGCTCTTTTTACTAATAACAAAAAAAAATTTATTTGTGATCTTAAGAAATTTAAAATGTCATATATGATATATGCATGGTTTAAATATGTCTTTTGATAAGTGGTCAGTCGCAATTGGTAGTGTAATATTAAAAAGTAGTATCAAATTGGAAGATTCCTTTTGTTTGCAGAATATACAATTATTAATGAATAATTTGTCCTTTTTCATCTTTTTTTCCTTTTCTATCATGTCCTTTTATCTTGTTATAAGAGGAACAAATTTTGAGTACCACGGATGTATTTACATCTTATTCAGAAAAGGAATTTTTTTTTGAATTTAAATAAAAATATAAATTAAAAGTTGAATTTAACTTGTAGACAACTTTCACTTTTTTTTTAAAAAAAAAAAGTAGCCACTTGATTACTCTTGTTTCACTTATTTTTCTGAAAGAAATTTTCTAATAAGGTGATGTTTGATTACCTTCTTTTCAACAAATTCCTTGAAAGATCAAGTATGGTTTTTAGAAACACAATGTTTGTTTGAATAGATTTTCACTAAATTCCCATCTATGCAATTTGTATGGCTTTATCAACTTTTGTTGAGAAAGATAGATATCTGCATTGTTTAGAAACCAAATTTGAGGATGGTTTTTTTGGAAAACCGGGTAATGCACTGTTGATTTCATAAAAGTTACCTAATTTTCCCAGTAAAGTTTTTTCCCACCAAACAACTTTTTTTTACATTTTTCTATCTATCTCACTTTATCTCACTTTCCAATCATTTCCCTATCTATTACATTTCCTTAGTATTCAAAAAATTTCTCGTTAACCAAACGTCCCCTAAGATAGGTCTATGAATTAATATAGCCAAATTGGCATATAACATCAATAGATCCCTTCAATCAGATTATGGAGTTATAAACTCATAATAAATATATTTTATGAATTTATATTTATATTAATATATATATATATCGATTTGGTGTTTTCATTTTAAATGACAGAAAGTTATGTCATTTTAAGAGAGAGATAGACACAGAAAAAGAGAAATCATAAGAGAGAAAAAGTGGATGATTTTTTTTAATTTAAAATTCAAATTTTCTGTGTCTGTATTTCTCTTAAAATGACATAACAAACTGTCATTTAAAATGACAAACATTTTTTCCTATATATATACTAGTGAATTACCCGTGCGATGCCCGGGAAAAAAAGAACAAAATATTTGTCGTCCGCTGTGGTTGGTTAATCGCACTGCAAACATTAAACTTACAAAAACCTGTGTTGTTATCTTGTTCTATATTTCAAGTGGAAAAAATTACAGCATTGATACAGAACTTTGTAAATGTCAACCATAAACAAAAATCTGCTATTCAGAGTGATCAATATTATGCAAATCAAATATATTATCTACTCGATGAGTTATGTACAAAATAAATACACCATAGTAGACTATGTTGAAATGAGGATGGCTAAAAAAAGAAAAATGCATACAACTTATTGCTAACTATAACAGTCACTAATAAAATCAAGGTAACAAACAGACCAAGCAAATATGAAATTAAAATATCAGCTTGTACCTATAATAAAAAAAACGCTATTAATTCAGTGTCATTCTGTAGCAATCATTGGAGGGATGAGTTTAACACATACCAAACATGTGATTTCCTATGTTTATGCATTACCAGAGACATCCTCTTCCACCATCATATTTATGCCTACGATACAAAATGTAAATGCTCATAAAATAAATTACGCTAATATGTTAACACTCAGAAGTAATAATCTCAGTAAAAAAATGGGTTATTTTTTTTAGAACCCAAAAAACGTTGTCTGAAAGGGATTTGAAAGCAAATTAACCAAATGGTCATGTATGAGTCATATTTTTTGCTTACATTGGAACAAATGTGTCTAAATAGCATCAAATCAATACACATGCTAAAAACTTGTAACAATATAAAGAACCCACAATGATAAATTTTTAAAAAACAACAACATACATTTGGGTCCACCAAAGACTTAAAGAATGAGGTGACAATAGCTTCGCTGCTTCAAACACTTGAAACTTCATATCTTGGCTCATTATATGACTCCAAATTATTTTTTTTACGTTGAACTTAAATAACATCGATTTTTCATTAAGAACGTTTAGTTTTCTTAGATAATGTTTCAAATTAGCACCCTAAGAAAAAAAACTTCTTCAAAATTAAGTATAACTCGTGCGATGCACAGGAAAAAAAGAAATTTGTTTGTCTGTCTCGTAAAATTTAATGCAAAACATAAAAATATATCTCTGCATTTTATTTAAATCAATATTGTTAGCTACCTAACTCAAACTTTTGTACATATAGAGTTGGCAAATTTTTGAGTTATTAAGTTTAATATAAAAGAAGAAGAGCAAAATTTTAATTTAATTACAAAAAAATAGGCGGGTCCGTCCTCCGGACCGACTCCACTTTGCAACCTCTAATTGTCAGCATTATATACCAGCATATAATAAACTTTTATATTTATCCACACGAAAAAGTTCTAATATTTGCATCTAAGTTTTTATATTTTATCTCAGAGATGGACTTTCGTTTATTACAATCAGATTTAAAAAATAATAATAAATAATTATTTTTTGCAAGGATTTGCGTCGTTTGTATTTGAAATTTTACAAATTTGTATTTACAAAAATTAAAATCTGATTTAAGAATTTAATTATAAAAGAAGATGTGTGAAATTTTAATTTAATTATAAAAATCTTTGGAAGTCCGGCCCTCTGGACCGAGCCCAGTTTGCCACCTATAACTAACGTTTTTATATTTATTCACAAAAAAGGCTCTTATAATTACTTCTAAGATTTTATATTTTATCTAAGAGATAAACTTTCATTCATTACAATTAGATTTACAAAATAATAATAAGTAATTATATTTTGCAAGGAATTGTGTAGTTAGTATTTAGAATTTTATAAATTTGTATTTACAAAAATTGAAATCTGAATTAGGAATCTAATTATAAAAGAAGAGTGAAATTTTACTTTAATTATTAAAACGTGTTGGCAGGCAAGGCGTGCAGGCCCTTTGAGCCAAGCCCAGTTTGCAACTTTTAACTATCACTGTTTTATATAAATAATTAATTTTTTCAAAGATTGTGTAATTAGTATTTTGAATTTTACATATTTGTATTTACAAAAATTTAGGAATTTAATTATAAAAGAAGAAGGATAAAACTTTAATTTAACTATAAAAATGTGTTGGTGGGCCGGCCCTTCGGGCTAAGCCAAGTTTGTCACCTCTAACTATCAGCATGCAATAGATTTTTATAGTTATCCATAAAAAAAGTTCTTATCGTCACATTTAGGTTTTTATATTTTATCTTAGAGATAGACTTTTATTTATTACAATCAGATTTAAAATATAATAATAAATAATTATTTTTTGCAAGGATTTGTGTCGTTTGTATTTGAAATTTTATAAATTTTAAATTTTTTCTCACCCAATAGATATAATAATAAATATTATTAATAGGCTTAATAATTTTCTATCTAGAAAGTATAAAGTAGTAGAAAACATGCATAGAAGTCTATGCACATTCTTCAAGTAATAGCTTCTAGGTAATCATTTACCACATAGAAAATTTTGTTAATTACACTCTTACATCAACAGAATGAAAGTTTAATTTCTTTCTAATATATTTAATTTTAAAATTTAAAATTCAACATGATAATAGAATTAATTATACATACTTTTAAAAAATAATTTAATTAATTATACATACTTTTAAAAAATAATTTTTTTTCTCTTTTAATTTATATTATATACATATATATATATATATACATTTAAAATATTTATCTTAAGTATTTTTTTTAAAAGTTTCTTGTACGCATTTTTTTTCATTTTTGTATCATTATTTTAAGTTAAAATTTTAATTTACTTTATTTTAAATTATATTTTTATAATTTTAAATATTTTTTCCGTTAAATTAATAATTTTTATTAAAATTAAATTTATTTTATACATATTTTTTTCCTGTTTTATAATTAATTCTAATAGGTATAATAATTAAGCCCAATAGACATAATAATAACTATCATTAATATGCTTAATAATTTTATTTTATTTTGGAAATATTCCAATTGGTTCATTGCTTCACAACTAATCCGATTCGGGGCGGGTCCAGGATTAAGGCATTATGCTTAATAATTTCTCATGCAGAAAGTAGTGTGCAAAATTAAATGCTGAATCTTTTCCCACCTCTCAAGTTCAAAATTCAAATTTAGAAAGTTTAAATTTTAAGTATTAAATATTTTCCCTCCCTGTAGACATAATAATGAATTAATAGGCTTTGCAATTTTCTATGCAAAAAATAAAGGGAAACATGCATAGAAGTCTAGGCACATTCTTCAAAAATAGCTTCTAGGTAATCATTCACGACATAGAAAATTGTGTTAATTACACTCTTACATCAAAAGAATGAAAGTTTGATTTCTTTCTAATATATTTAATTTTAAAATTTAAAATTCAACATGATAAT